AGTTACAGTCCGCTTTTGAGGCGTGGGAAGTGTCAGGCTTTAGAGGTCTCCTCAGGTGGCTGAGGAGGAGGAAGAGCAAGGAGATGTGGGACGAGAGGAGCAGGGAGGAGCTGAGCCCAGCAGACCGCTCCCAGGGAAGTCCTGTGAGTGGGATGTCCCTTACGGAGCGGATGGCCAAACCCCTCCTGAGTGCAAATCCTTCATCAGCCCGACATCTCACGCCTGTAGCCGTTAAAGTAAGTCGTACATCTGGCTGGTAGATGTGGGAAAAGGGAGTGTGCTAGACGAGGCTGATCAGATTTTAATCCCCATGGAGCTGAGTAGCTGGCTAGGGCCAGGGAGAGCGAGAGCAGTGATGCTCATCTCCCTTGGTGACTTTTCTCAGCACTTTGGTTCCAGCCAGCTGCAATCCAGACTTGCGGTGGCCCCAGCTCTTTCCAGCCCGGAGAGCTTGGGTACATATTCTGCCTATGGCACCTTTGACATGGCATGTGGATACCAGAAATGCCTGCAAGGGCACAGTTTATATTAACATAATGAATATTAAGCTTAGTTCACTTTACAGAAAATGAAACCCCTTCTCTCCTCACATGAAGAAATCTGGAACAGATAAATTTTTACAGCAAAGTTTATTTAAACAAATCTTACATTAGAGCTGTTCCAAACACTGCAGTCAGTACTGCATGGCATGGAGAGGGCGGGAGCACGACAGCAATGGAAAATGGCATTGGGTGAGACTGTAGGCTCCAGCCCAGATACTTTCCATTTGAAGGTTGTAATGTATTTCTATACAGCTAAATCCATGGAAAAATGTGAATTCTCCTGAGGACTAGTTAGGAAAGCCTTGTTACCTTCCCGTTTCATAGGCTGGGTTCTGTCTGTTTGGAATGCATCGCTTTAGCTGATTGAAATAGACTGTCCTTTTTACAGCGTTAGGGGTGTTGATCTTGCCATATTCATTCTTGTGCAGGTCCTGCACCCTGGGCTAGTCCAACAAGTCCAGATGGATCTGTTTCTCATGAAGATGGGTAGCCACATCATTGGACTTCTCCCTGGATTCAAGTGGCTCAGCTTGACAGAGATCGTGGAGGAGTTTGAGAAGCTTATGATTCAGCAGGTACATGCCATGGCATGGTCCCCATGCACTGAAACAAAACTGCCCTTTGTCCTGCTACCAGCTGGCTCTAACTGTTCATACTGCTGCTTTTTAAAGGGTTAGATGAAAGCTTGCTTGTTCCTTAGTTATGTTCTTTATTCTAATCAGTCATATAAAGTTACTGTAAGAAAGCTTATACGATCACAGTAAAAAAGCAGAGCAATGGAAAAAATGTAACAATCTTTATTGGATTTAAAAATCTTTTTTAGACTTTGAAAGTCTTTTCTAGACTTTGGGTATGTTTTCTAGTGAACAGCCTGAACAGCTAGCTAGTCATAGTTGCAGTCCTTTTTGCAGCACTGTGAAAGATGAACACTGATAAGAGACCTCTCCTTAGGAAAAGAATCTCTCCAAACAAGTGCTCAGACTTTTTTTCTCTTCAATCCTACACATATGTTTGCAGTCTGTACTGACTGGTCATGTTTGTTAGCACTGAGGTATATATACTGGCATAACTAGTAAACTTTCACATAAGTTAATAATACATTCTATATTGTATTGTCTTCAGACTCATTATATCAGTAAAGTTAAGCTTTGCAAATAGATCTGAAAACATGTCCTGAGTCATTAATGTCTTCTACAGGCTGAGTCCTGAATCATCCTTACTACCAAACTTAAGGAAGATTTCACTACAGGCTTCATTAGGCTTATGTTTCTATTACAGTGAACCATTATCTGCCACTTTCATTTGTGTGTCTAGATTGCAGAGTCTGAAGTCTGTTTATAAGCTTTTGAAAGCCTCAGTTCTTTTCTACTGTTGCAAAAAAATCTACACAGTAAATCCATGTTGTGAACTGTTGACTGTATTCAGATGTGACTCGAGGTCATTAGTACCAGTTCAGTCCAGCAGAGCCTTTGGTGCATGTGCTGAAGACTGAGGATTAGGGGAGCATCTGAGAGGCTTGTTGTAATTTCCTTTTGCTTCTCTTTGAAAGAACAAGGAGTATTCCTGGGATATTTCCCATTGCCAGATGGGGGAGGTGAGGCAAGGTTATCCTGCCTCCTTGAGCAGCAGCAGTGGGCAGGAGAGATGCCCTTGTGTCAAGGCACTGGATCACTGAAGAGCTGGGGCCAGGGCTGTGCATAGTGGATGATTTTGTACGTGTTGCATTAAATTTCTTCTTGCTATGGCTGCCTATCTGTAAAGTGAGGCAGGGCTGCAGTTCTTCTACCCTGTCTGCCTGCCTTGCTGTTTGGACAGTAAGCTTTAGTTAAGGATCTGTCTTACCCTTGAAAATAAGGCAGTCTTGGTCTTTTTGAGACATCATGCCTGTAGTAAGAGTCACCCATATTTCAAAGGTGCTGCATTGTGAGCCATCCATTACCCAGTCCATTACTCTACTCTTCCATCAGGAAAGCTGTAAGCATGTAAGAAGCACCACTCCATTTTGTTTTCATTCTGGCTTTCTGACGAGTTTTGTTGGTATTGAGTATCACACCGTACAGTCATATCCTCATGCAGAATCCTGAAGATCTAATTCTCATTGCATCTAATTTCCAACCTGCTTTTTCTTTTTCTCCCTTGAGATTGACTTACAAAGAGAAGCCAGAAATCTGGAGCGTTTCCGACAAAATTTCCTAGATGTTGATTTTGTGAAGTTCCCAACTCCCCTTCGACCTTTGGTAACGACGGATGTTCTGGTTGAAACGTTTGAGGTAAGAGTGGCAGGGTCTGGGAGCAGTGGTAGCAATGAGAAGGCCCTTAGAACATGCCAAGAAAGTGGGTTTTTTTGAGAAGGAGCAATCAGAGGCAGGATATTTTTCTCTTATTTGCTTAAAAAGATCAGTGTCCTTCCTTCGTGTCTCTTCCACTCCCTTTGTTTGCAGACAGTGCATCCCAGAAGACAGGTGGCCAACAACTCCATATAGAAGTGAACACTGAAAGCAAGCAGACCAGCAGTGTGTCCAGCCACTACATGCTTGCCTGTGCTTTGCAAACCAACACCACACTTTGGCTCTCCTCTGTGGTGGGTCAAAGCAAGGAGCTCGGCAATCTGAGGCTTTCTGATGCTTGCCTCACTTCCCTTGTGGATGTTGGAGTCACAGACCAGAGCTACTCTCAGCCTTAGTTTTCATGCATGTGATCCTGGCAAGACTATTTCTGTCCCAGGCTATATCACACCCTCTTTCCAAAGAACAAACCCTTGCTTCTCTCATGTTCTCCATCACAGTAGGTGCAGCCTCTACTGAGCAGATCCTTTCTAGGGTATTTTTATGACCTTCCCTCAACTCTTGGCACCTAGGTAAAGGTGTGGTTGAAGGTGGGTCACAGGGTGTGTTTGACTCCAGCTCCATCTTTATTTCAGGAGAGTGAGCCTATTTCGCACTACCTGCACGCGGAGATTGCCACAGAGCTGAGGCAGAGCCTTGCAAAGATGGGCATGGACATGCTGCTAAAGATGGTAGGCACTTGGCTGAGGCTGCAGGTGAAGGTTGTTTTACTGCAGAAGCTGTTCTGTTGGGGTAATAAGATAGTATGGCAAAAGACAGAACCTATTGGCTTCCTGTTTCTCCTCCCCTTCTCCCCATGCACCCAAAGATAGAGCTGTGCCTTTTGGAGCCAGCCTGTGCATGCCAGGTATCTCATGGTAACCCTGGGCTTGGGCTGCTAGGGCCCTGTACAGCTCCTGGACTGGCAGAGGGAGGGTCTGTACTTCATGTGCCATGCAACACCAGGTCTGCGTGAAGCCTGAGCTAGATATACCACTGCTGTAGACTTTGACATAGAGCTGCTTCCACCACAGAACTGTGATCTGCTTGCCCACAGTAGGGTGGGGTCCTATGCAACTTCATCCCTGCATTGCTTAAGAAACCCACTAATCCAGCTAATGAATATTCACATGTTGCCCAAATGCTGTAAAGTGCAGTGCAATTAGCAAATATGCTTTCTGTAGAGACTCCTCCTCCAAAACTGCCTTTTTAAAGGAAGAACTAAATATAGAGTAAAGAAAACAAACCTGGCCAGATTCAGCTTGTTGGCTGTCAAATTCTTTTGTGGTTGAAATAATCACAAATTATCTGGAAAGGAGTGTTGAGAGGGTGACACAATTGGCTTGTAAGGAGCCATGAGAACTAGTGGGACAGAGTTGGAAAAGAACCTGACAGTACTGAGTGCGTGGGCAGTAAGTGTCGGATGAAATTCAGTTGGTAACTGCAACATCATACTAGGATGATGGTGAGGCCTGCAGTTCTGAGTCCGTGTAGTATGACAGACTCTGAAATAGCTTTTACCACTCAGAAAAGCAGTGATGGAACTATAATAGTTTTATGCTAATGCTGGATTAAATGGTTAGGAGTAAAGCAAAAACCCCAGATGTTTTGAGAAGAATTAAAGAGTAAAGAAACAACATTATGGCTCTAAGTGAAACAAATACCTCTTTCTTGAATACTCTGTGCAGTTCTTGTCCCTCCCTGTCGAGGACCCTCCATTTCAAGGGCTGATACAGAACTAGAGGAGGTGCAGAGGAAGGCAGCCAGGATGATTACTGGTGTGGAGTGGTTTCCATACAGGAATGGTGAAATAATTTGGACTCTTAACTCTGGAAAGCAGAAAAATTAATAGCTTATGACAGAGATATATGCAGTCATGAGTTCATGAGAGTGAATATGGATCTATTGTGTATGGTTTCTCAGAACAATGAAGAAGACATAAAGTTATCAGAGGTCATTTTATCAGCCAACACCTAAAAGAAATCTCCTCTTTTTAAACAGCTCTATTTATGTGGCAATTGGACAAATTTGTAGGAGGAATCTATGAAATACAAAGATAACCTCCTTGGGGCAGGAAGTCTTGCAGTCTTAGGTGGCCAGGAGGGTTAGTGGGGAAGTACTGACTTGTGCTTGCCCCTTGCTAGTCCTTTCTGCTACTAACAGCTAGCAGAGGCAGAGAAGTGCTACATACATTTGTTTCTTCTTGTTTTCCTTACTTTTCAATAGTTGTAATGTGGGTTGATGTCCCAGACTAGCCAAACAACCATTCACTATAACCCATGCCACCAAATAGCAAATGGCCTATTCTTACTGCGTTACTGTTTGCCAAGGGCCAAGCGTGCATCCAGTTTAGGGTTAATTGCCAAAGAGCATTACCATTCCCTGGTGGGACTCCTGGCTGGCCTACTTGACCCCTATGAAACACACAGAATTGCTTCACACAGCTCTGCTGACTTCCCTGGAGTGAGTAGGACCCATGCCATTTCAGCACAGCAGGTCTCCAGCAGAAGCTATTCGCCGTGTGCCCAGGGTGAAGCACGTTAGTAATGACAGCGAACAGAAATGAACCTCTGCTGTTTGCCTGAGTTTTGGCATGGGCAGGTTTGGTTGGAATGAGCTGCTCTAAGACTTGCCTGTCCTCTAGATCTTTGTTGACAACTTTGTCCATGCTGACCTGCACCCTGGGAACATCCTGGTTCAAGGCACAGCCCACGTCAGCACCAGCTGCAAGGAGCAGACAGCCATCGTGGACCTGTGTGACACGCTGGTGGTGGAAGTGCAGCCGCCCCTCAGGCAGCTCTGCCTGGTGCTGCTGGACGCGGGGATCGTGGCGGAGCTGCAGAGCGCTGACATGCAGAACTTCCGGGCAGTTTTCACAGCTGTGGTCCAGGGCCAGGTGAGGTCTCTGTCGTGGGCCTGAGGAGCTGAGGCTGGAGAAGGGAGACAGCTTGAGAGGGATGGCCAAAATGATAGTTTTCTCTCTATTTCCCTTTACAATCCTTCCTAAGAGAGGAGAGGAGACTTGCTAGCATGGAAGCTATACCAGACACAGGGTTAAGATGTTCAACTACAGCAAGGAAGCTGCCAGAATGGAGTGATTTGAGTGGTCCAGGAAACAGAGCGTGTTAAATGGGAAGCACTGGCTGCCACTCCCTGGTTAGAAGTACTGTTGCAGAATCTGCCAGGTTTTGCTAGAGAAGAGGAGGGAATGGATTAACATCTTGGTCTCCAACATGCGTTCCCTTCTGCAGCCTTGCTCCTGGAAAGCCTGTATGCCACCCTCCACTTCGCTGTTGTGTCAGCATCTGTAGAGAAGAGGAAGCAAAACGGGTGGGGATGAGGGTTCTGGACTCTGCCAGGCTCCTTGGTATAAGGGATACTACTTTATCCTTTTCCCACTTATTTAAAATGCACTCTCAGATGGACTAGAGAATCCAGTGCTGATGTCTCCTGTTCATTCTGAGAACAACCATCTGTGCTCACAGATGCGTGTTGCTGTTTCTCAGCTGTGAGCTGGTTGGCTCACCAGCACATTTCAAGAGGGACACGTTTTAACTCTGTTTAATCTGCCGAAACATACTGAGGAGTCAGTGCTAAACTGTGTATTCAGGCCCATCCTGTGCTGCCAGACTTACCCCTCAGCTACCGAGTAACAACTGCAGACATTTGACTGCAAGTCCTTCATGGCTCAGGCTGGCTGTAATTCATCATCTGCAGGTGAAAAACTTCCATGCCAAGTCTCATTGCCAAACCTGGAGCCTCTGGCTCTGTGCGCTGCTGTTAGACGCTTCTTCCAAGAAGAGCTATAAAGCCTCTCCCAGGTAAAGCTTGGGTGTGGCTTCCCACTTTCTCACCAAGTATCTGCTGGTGCAGAATCAGCTTGCAAATGGAAGGTTGGACTTAGCCCATAAGGGAGGTTAACAGATGCCCTTTTTGACACCGTTATCTCCTCTGCTAAGAAGAAAGTGCTAATTCAGAGGGATATTATTCCCCCCTGAAACTTCTCCTGGCTGTCAGAGAGATACCTTTGTTGTGTTTACTCTCCAAGGCCTGCAAGAAAAATAAGCAGGGTTTTGCTAGATATTTACTAAGACTTTTGGACCAGTTCTGCTCTTCCTGCACCTGCTTCTCTTAATTTGTTGGGTCTCTGTTGCTGGAATGGGAAAGCGTGGCCCTGGGAGTTCTCCCTGCAGTATGTCACTGCCAGGGACGATGATGTGCAGCTCCCTGTAGACCTGCTGGCACCAGTGAGAAAGTTCTGATTCTCCTTTTCAACTTAATTTTACAGGGGGAGAGAGTGGCAGAACTGATCCTTCATCACGCCCGTGCTAACCAGTGCCAGGATGTCGAACGATTCAAAGCTGAGATGGCAGAACTAGTGACCAAGGTCCGGGGGAACACCATTGCACTAGGAAAGGCAAGTGAACAAACATGTCCCACCTTCACTTACCTGCAGTTCCGTGCAACTTGGCTTTCAGAATGATCCATCTAGAAAGGCCAGCTCTGATCCCATTAGTGCCACCAACCGGTACTAGGAGCTTTTAGTCTCTCAGGTGCAGCAAAACTCCATAAAATCCTTTCTTATTTCCTTCTAATTGAAAAAAAACATATCTTTGTGGGGTTTTTTGTTTTGTTTTTAAATCTAACACCTGCAGCTCCTTGTGAGGAGTTGCTGAGCCTGATGTTACAGCTTAGATCTTGTCAGCTAAGGCCAGCCTGGGCACTTCAGAGGGTGTAGTATGGTGGTATTGAGTAAATTAGTGCATGTTGTGTACTGCTGTGAGGTCAGACGTTCTCAGCCTTCCTGGGCTGGCAGGAAAGCAGAACTGTGGGTCACAGCAGAACTCCTGTCCCGGGTGGGAGGAATCATACCTTGATGGTGGCCGTTGTCAGCCCAGTAATCTTGTCCCACCACACTTAGAAGAATCCTGCCTGTCACTCGTGCAGCTCAGTCATCTTGACCACAGATTTTTTGATCAGTAGTTAACTTCTCCTTTTGTATTCCAGCTTCAGGTGGGAAATCTCCTCTCGAATGTCTTTAAACTGTTGATGACCCATAAGGTAAGGTCCTGTCGCTGTCTGCCTTCAATAGCTGGAAGCTCATTTGGGGAGGGAGAACTAGTGGGAACCTGAAGGGCTGACAAGCCACAAGCCAGGGGACTGTGATTTCTGAAACGAACTTCTAGGAG